ATGGGTGACCCTGGAGGACATTATGCTGAGTGAAGTATCTCAGTCACAAAAGGACAAATACTGCATGGTGCCACTGTTGTAAAACAGGACTGACATCGGGGTTGGGGGGAGACTGAGAAAGATGGGTTCAATAATGTATACTGCATTGAAACAGATAAGGGAGAAAACTGTTTAAAAGGGATATGTGATTAGGTATTTTTGTCATGACAGGAGTCCAGAGCAAAGGCTGCTTAGTGGAGTGGACCTGGGGGAGGGTTTGTAAAACAATGAAAGAATTTTTTCTTTCACTTTTCCAAGAGGGTAGTGTACTGGGGGGAGGGGTGGGAGAGGAGAAAAGTATAACAATGAATGAATGGAAACCCAAAGTCTCTGTAAATTTTCACTGAAATTAATAATCATTTAAAAAAAAAAAAAGGCAGGCCAGATCGAGGATCCAGTGACTACCTCAGAGACAGGAAGGTAGAAGAAACATGCTGACGTGGAGTTCCAAGAACTGGTACTAAAGGAGTTACAAATTTTGGAAGAGTTGAAGCCATAAGTAAAGAGCAACAAGAAATGAAAAAAATTATCACAAGACAGAAGATTCAACCAATACAGTACTAGAAAGAAAAAAAAAAGAAGGAAATACAATCTAGAATATCAAGACCAAAATGGCTGAAATTCTCAACATGTTGGAGGCACAAAAAAGGAGAACAGAAGAGATGGAACAGGAAAGCAGCAAGACAGAAGACAAGAATCTCTATGAGAACTTACTAAAAAACCAAGGAGCTCTGGTGGCCTAATGGCAAGAAGCTGCACTGCAATCCTGAAGGCATGTGATTAGAATCAAGCAGATGCTCCACTGAAGAAGGAGGGGCACCTTCCTCCTGTGCCAGTCAGATCCAACTCGATGGAACACAACAACAACAACAACAAAAAAATCAATGAGAAAGCAGAAGGAAAATGAATAAAATATTGGAATCATATGGGAATATATCAAAAGAAACAACATATATGTAAGGGGAATTTCAGAACAGGAAGGTAAAACAAACAAACAAACAAAAGCATGGAGAAAACTGTGGAAATGGTACTAGAAGAAAACTTTCCAGGTATGAAAAATGAGGAAATATACATTCTAGATTTTCAGTGAATGCCAAACAGACTAGACTCCAAAAGAAAAGCTTCACGATATATTGTTGTCTATTAATCCAAAATCAAAGGATAGAACACTAAAAGCAGCATGAGAAAAAGAGTCACCTATAAAGTAGAAACAATTAAATTACGCTTTGATTTCTTAGCAGAAACCATGTGAGAATGGAATAGTATATACAGAAGGCTGAAAGAAAAAAAACAACCACCGTCAGTCAAGGATCCTGTACCCAGCAAAATTGTCCCATCAAATATGAAGGCGAAATAAGGCCATTTGTAGGAAAGTAGGAACTTAAGGAAAATAAAAGCCAATCTACAAGAAATACCAAAGGAAGCCCTTCACACAGAGACAGCATAGCAAAGTAGATGGATCAAAGGAATCAGCAACAACAGAAAAAGGCAAATGGAAATGATAAAATCTGGCCTATCAATAACCATACTAAACATGAATGAATGGCTTAAATGTACTGATTAAGAGAAAAAGAGTAACAGACTGGACAAAAATCCCAAAGCCCTTAAATACATCATCTACAAGAAATGAGAAGGATAGACAAAAAAATCAAAGGATGGAAAAAAATATACCAATGGCATTCATAATAAAACTGGAGTGGCACTACCATAAGAGATAAGGAAAGACACTACATGATAATTAAAGGCACAATAGACCAAGAGGACATATTAGTTAACATCTACACACCTAATGATAATTATTGTTGTTGTTTGTGTTCAAGTTGGAACTGACCCATAGCTGACCCTCCAGCGGGTTTTCAGAGGTAGTAAATCACATGGAAGAAGACTGCCCATCCCTCTCCCATAGAGCATCAAATGGATTTAAAACATTTGCCTTTGGGATTGCAGCTTCTTACCACAGGAATACAAAATACATAAAACAATGGTTAATCGATTTGAAGAAAAAACAGACAACAGCACAATATTAGTAGGAGACTTCAACACACCACTCTCACTATTGGTCAACTCAAAAGAAACTCAGCAAAGATGTAAAAGAACTAAACTACACAATCAGCCAACTAAATCTCATACGCATATTCAGTCTACTTCACCCAACAGAAACTCAATTCACATTTTTCTCAAGTGAACATGGTACATTCTCCAGAACTGACTACATGTTAGGATGCAAATCAAGCTGCAAGTATCTTTTCAGGTCACAATGCCATAAAGACAGAAATTAACAAGAGGAGAAAAGATAAAAAGAACCCTCACACGGAGGCTAAGTAAACCTTGCTTGAGCACTAATGGGTTATAGAAGAAACAAAAAGTGAAATAAAGAGTTTTTCCAAACAAATAAAAAAGAACATAATTAAAACCTCTGGGATACAGCTAATGCAGTTAGTTCTCAGGGATCAGTTCACAGCAATAGGAAAACACATAAAAAAAGGAGAAAAATAAATGACTTAATGTCTCCATGAAGTAGAAACAGAACAACCTAATCCCACAGCCTCTAAAAGAAAGGAAATTATAAGGATCAAGGCTGAAATCAATGGAGGAGAAAAAGAAAAATAAGTGAAACCATCAATAAACACCAGAAATGGTTCTTTGAAAGAGTTAATAAATCAACAAACCGTCAGCAAACTTAAGGAAAGATACAACTCAAATAAGACATGAAAGAGGTGGTATCAACAGAACCAGTCAATTTAAATTGATAGGAACATTCAGAGCCAAACCATCACAATTCTACTTAAATTATTTGAAAACACTGAAAAAGAATTAACACTTCTAGAGTTATTCTAGGGAGAAAAAAAAACAACCCAACACCCCACTAATAAAAAACTTGGCAAAAACATTACCAAAAAAGAAAACTATAGACCAGTAACTCAATGAACATAGATGCTAAAATTCTTAACTAAATCCTGGCCAAAAGAATCCAACTATTTATCAAAAAATAATTCATCACAACCAAGTGGGATTCATAATAGGCATGCAGGGATGGTTCAACATAAGAATAACAAAGTAATCAATCATATTAATAAAGCAAAGAACAAGAACTACATGATTCTATTGATACAGAGAAAGTCTTCAACAAAAATCCAATACCTCTTCCTGATTAAAACATTCAACTAAATAGGAATAGAGGGTAATTTCCTCAACATAGTGAAAAGTATATATGCAAAACTAAGAGCCAACATTATTCTCAATGGAGAGACTAAACACATTCCACTTGCCAAAAGGGACTAGGAATCACCACTCCAATACTGTATTGGAAGCTCTAGCTAGGTCAATAAGGCAAGTAAAGGAAATAAGAAGCATCTAACTTGGCAAAGAGGTGGTGAAACTGTCATTATACACAGATGGCATGGTAATATACCCAGAAAAGCCCAGAGTCAATAGCAAAAATACAAACAACCCTGTTAGATCTAGTGGTGGGAAAACAACAAAGGAAAATCAGTTAGATTTTTCTGCAACAACAAAGAAAGCATGGAAAGGAAAACAAACAAACAAAATACCATTTGCAATAGAGAACCACAAAAGAAGAAGTTGGTGGGGGCAAAAAAAAGGGGAAGGGGAGAAGAGGGATCAGAAAAAAGGGAAGAGAAAAAAAATCACTGGGATAGTAGAAGTTCATAGGGGGAGTGGGATGTAAAGGAATGGGAAAGGTTCAGTGGGGACTTGAAAAGATGAGGTGATAATAGGCATGGATCAATAGTAATTATAGAAAATATAAGAATAATTATATAAAATATAATGTACATGAACAAAACACAGTATGTATGAATGATCATATAAAACACAAAGTACATGCACACCCATGTTTATTGCTGCATTATTTACAATAACAAAGAGACGCCCATCAACTAATGAATGGATAGAAAAACTATGGTGTACGCAAACAATGAATGCACTGAAAAACAATGAAATAGTAAAACATTATACAACATGGAGAAGCCTTGAGGACATTATGCTAAGTGAAATATTTCAATCACAAAATGGCAAATACTTCATACCACCACTGTTAATAGTAGGGCAGACATGGGGGTGTTAGGGGAGTGAAAAGGGAAGGAGTGGATAATGAACACAGCATTGGAACAGATGAGGGGAAGAAATGTTCAAAAGGAATATATGATTATGGATTATATATATGACAATAATCTAGAACAAGAAGTGTATTGGGTGGGCTAGTGGAGGGAGAGGAAAACAGGGAGAAGAAAACGTACAGTAAAAAACCCTCACAAAGTACATGTATGAAACATGCTGTATATGATTGTATGCAAAACAATAAAAATAAAGTTTTATGGGAATACACCTACAAGGACATACTTAACAGTCAACTTACATAGCTTGCAAAGCCAAAGGCATTTGATACCTGGCCATTTATAGAGTGGTTATGAGATGTTCCTGTTAGAAAAGTCATGCTTACTTCGTTCCCTGCATGCTTACATCATTTTCTTCTGGGTAGAAAGGAACTGAAGTGTCTGGCTTGTTTAAAGCTTTGGTATAGTCTGATCGAGTTAAGAGAGAAAAAACTCAAGACCTGATGTCGACTTGATTCCAATTCACAGTGACCCTGTAGGAAAAGAACTGCCCCCAGGGTTTCTGAGACTGGATCTTTACAGAAGCAGACGGCCCTTCTTCTTCCCAAGGAGCAGCAATCACCATGTCCCCAATGCTCTCAACAAAGAGAAGAAAATATGAAAAGGCAAAAACACTAGGCAGCATCTGTAGAAATGAATTTTAATGAAATAACTATTAAAATCAAGGCAAGAAAGCCTCGCATTACGGGTGAGACATGAGCACTGATGGCCACATCCACCCTAGGATGGGCACCCGGCCACTGTTAACAAGCCCACTTCTCAGCTCCCTGCCCCTGCCCTGGGAACAAAGTGGGAGGAAGGGGGAAGACACAGAGTGTGAGAGGCTCAGAACTTCAGGGGGATGACTGGCCAGTACTTGGGCTGCTTGCGGTCACAATGCTTGTTGAAGTTCAGCTGTATTGAGGCCTCCATGGCCATGATCTTGGCGGCGCTGTCCCCATAGAGCTTCTTCATCTCAGCCTGCCGTCTCTCCCCAGGCCTCTCGGTTGGTGGCTCCACCGTGCGGTGCACGTTGTAGTACAGGTCGTGATCCGCGTTCACATACTCGCGCAGGCGCTCAGCGTCCAGCTGCTGCTGTCGCCCTGAGACCGACACAATAGAGGAGCATAGTGAATATGGCTTCTGATGGAATGGCTGCTGTACACCCCAAGGAGTCTGGGCTCTACTTTTTCCACAGAGACTGCCTGCTGAGCTTTGGTGAGGGCGGGATGCTGCCAAAGAGCTGACTGTTCATATTAGGCCTCTACACTGCTACATGCCATCGAGCCTATTCCGATCCAGTGACCCTGAAGGACAGCAAAGGCTACCTCAGGTCTCTAAGGTCGTCATCTTTATGGGAGCAGGCTGACTCATCTGTAGTATAAGGGCCAGTGGGTCTGAACCCAAGACCTTCTTGCTCAACTGTTGTGCCACGAGGGCTGCTTTGTATACTAGTAGAAATGGCAAGAAGGCCGAAAGAAAGCACTGGCACCCAAAGGTACCAGACCTGTGGGAAGGGATGCCGAGGGGGTGCACAGAGCATTGCTGAGGGAGCAAGACTGTTCTGTGTGACACTGTCACGTGGTGAAGAGGGTCCACTTCCTGTGCAATTTGTCTATAAATAATGCCCAGTAACAGAGGAAAACAAAGCCTTGGAATGAGCCTGGAAAATACAGAGGAAAAATGCAAGCCCTTAGGTTTCGTCTCCCTTTCCTTCTACCTGGTCCTACTACCTGCTCAGCCTGGCAGATCTTGGTCTTGTATAATATAACAGGCAGCTGGTACAGAACAACTTTCTGAGAGACACAATGTTATAGTGACTGTCTGCCCCACCTCCTTGGAGAGCCACATCTATCAAGCAGGCACTGCGGAATAGTGAATTCAGACTCAGGACAGACAAGATACCCTCTTCCCTGGTTCTTCCACTGACACAAAGTACAAAGCCCTCCTCCACGCATCGCCACCAAAGGTTAAGTGATTCAACACTCGCTGAAGGTAAAAGGGCAAAGACTGCAATTGTGTAAATGAAATGAAGCTCTCTGATTTTTTTTTTAATCAAGGATTCGAAGAATTCTGCAAGTCTGCTGCTTTTCACACCATAGGCTGGCCCTGGTTCAATTTCACAGGATGTATTTATAGACCTTTCACCCTATTACTTTCAATAAAGTCCTGTAAAGCAACAGATATTCAATTGGCTCCCCATTCTATTTTTCTAGCAAGTCCCAATATGAAGGTTTTTATTTTTCAGTAAATAGAAAAAAAAATATACCAGTAAAACAGTGCTGTTACAAGGGAAAACATAGCCAAGGACCATCGAGTTAAGTTTTCTCTACCAAGTAGAGAGAATATTTGCATGTGTGTGTGTGTGTGTGTGTGTGTGTGTGTGTGTACCTACCTTAACAACTTTAGGTATGACAGAAGGCTAATGTAATAAATAACTAAATTTATTCAGTGGAATATATTAACAACTATTTTAATAAAGATTGTAACTTACAAAAAAAGTGAAATGGTTAACAAAAGAAGTTTACTATAGAGAGTGAAGAAGGCTGCAAGGAAATAAAACAATTATATAAATCATGTTTTCCTTAAAAAGAAAAAAAAAGAGAGAGAATAACAAAGTAAGCCAAGTGTCCCTATCTGTAGTAGAGTAGAGCTGGGTGGCAAAGGGTTTTCAAATGTTGGGGGGTTTTTTTGTCTGTTGATTGCTACACCTTTCTTCTGAGCACTTCACACCACTCAGGACTCCTCTTCAAGCATCAACGGGAAGACATTCACCTGGCTCTGCTCTCATATCACACATCCTGGTCTTCATAACTACTACCATGCAGTTAAAGGGGGAAAGTTTGATGAGTATGAAAACATTATTTAAAATGTACTCACTTTCTGTGAAACAAAACATCTGTAAACATAAGAGAGTGGGCAGAATCACATATGTAGCCCTTTTTTGCAGGAAACTATTTGTGGCTTGCTTTTACATAAGTAAAATGTGGATGATATACTATTAAGTAATGTACTGTGAAAAGCAGAACTAAACTAAAATAAACGTCTAATATGTGGGTGTGTGAGAAGGATGGACAATATTCTCCCGTGCGACTAACTGCCTCTGAAAAACCACCAGAGGGTGGGCTATGGGTCACTTCCAACTTGATGGTACACAACAATATGTGGGAAGGGGGGGGTGTCACCAGTGATTTCTGCCCTACCTTTCACAGTTCTTTTACTTGTCTGAAACATCAGTATCCTATTTCACGGCAAATAATGGCCCAATGAAATAATGCACATACACATACACATATACATATAATGCACATAGGAAACAATGTATGAGGGAGCTGTGTGGTCTGCAAAACCCCCTATAATACATGATTAGTGTAAAAATACACTAAGTTCTCCAACTTCGCTGGTTAAAAGTCCATGTCTTCAAACTGCATCCTGTTGGAGTAGTGTGAGACTGGATGAACTCAGTCTTAATTAACCAGAGAAAAAGGTCATTTCTAGATGTTCCTCTGACTTCCAAGCTAATTTTCAAGGAGAAAAAACCCAAAATTAGGAAGGCTGAAGAGGAGTGCACTACTGCTGTGCTGCTGCGGTGTGGATGGCTAGCAACCCCTACACCTCCCTGGAACTTCCCGTAGGCTGTGGCTGGCGCTGGGAGAAGCCACAGTAGGGACCAGCTCCTTCCTGGGGAAGTTGTGTTCTTTTTCTCCAGTCTCTTGACTATGAAGATTCAACCACTCATCTTTTTTCTTATACTCAAAACTTTGAAGACATGCTGAGTTAGATACTTTTCACAATCAGAGGAAAGGAAAAGTGACTGAGGACGCTGGCATTCGGGGTGGGCAGTAAGGAATGTTCAGAGTCAGTAAGACAATGTCCAGCCATTTCACACGTGCCTCCTCCAAAAGCAGCGATAAAAGTAATTCCACAGAGACCTGGCAAGGCCAGAGAGGGTGGCTGGTTGCACCTTGGCAGGTCAGTAAACAGAGAGAAGGTTCTGTGGTTTGAGGACTGTCGGCAGGCCTCAGAGAGATTTCGGGTTCTGTTCTAGACTCACACAATAAAGTAAATCTTGCAATAAATGACCATCACATGAGTTATATGGCTTTTCTGTACATATACGAGTTATGCTGACACTATCCTGCAGCCTACGAAGCATGCAACAGCAGGATGAAAAAGTCAGAAATCTGAGAATGGCCTAAATATGACAGAGACACCAAGTGAGCAGAGGCTGGAAAAATGGTGCTGAGATACAGCTCAAGGCAGGGCTGCTACAAACCTCCAGTTAAAAAAATTATCTGCGATGTGTAATTCAGGGGAGCAAAATTAAACGAGGCCTTCCTGGGCTCTTCTGAGGGCTTGAGGTTTCTGCATTGAAAGGAACAAGAGTCTCTCTGCCACAAGAATAGACCTGGGCTCCTCTGTCCCCTCATGTTTCTCCTTGTGTCTGGAGGAAGTGGGTACACCTGTGGGGCAAAGAGGCCTTCCAGGCTTTGCACATGGAGGCTCCCAGCCCTCTGCTTTCCATGTGTCTTCCATCTGTCCCAAGACTATCAACAGTGTCACCAAGAGATTCTGTGGCACAGCAGATGTCCGGCTTCCTGTCTGAACACAAGTCATTACCAAATGCTGGGATCTTAGCTCTCCGTGCTGCTCCCTGCTGTCAGAAGACGTGACTTCCCCTTTCTACTTCTACATCTGTTTTTCTTTGCCTCACAATTTCCTATCTTTATCATGATGTTTCTCTTCTGCTACATTTCTGACAAAAAAAATAATAATCTTACAGATAATAAATATGCCATGACCTGCCAAAGGAACGAACAGATCGGTCTTAAGAGAAGTACAGCCAGAATGTTTCTTGGAAGTCAAGATAGCAAGACTAAGTATTCTGGGCATATTATCAGGAGCAGCTGGTCCCTGGCGAAGGACATTAGTCCTGATAAAGAGGAGGGCTGGGGGAAAAGAGGAAGATCTTCAAAGACATGAATCGACACACTGCCTACAACAATGGGCTTAAACACAGCTATGATTGTGAGGATAGGACAGTACCGGGCAGTGTTCTGGTCTGTTGTGCACTGAGTGGCTATGAAAGGGGACCAGCTCGCTGGCAGCTAACAATAGCAACAGTTCTAGAGAGAGAGGTAGTTTCTCTGACTGTGGGCACCTGTAGATGAAATGCTGCTACTTACAAAGCAGCCCCAGTGATACCTGCTGATGCCAAGAGACACCTCCAGTGTGCACTCCCATGTGCTTGTGGGTTCCCAGCATGGGGCATTAGCTTTTAATAAAGTTCACTGATTTGTTATTGAAAAGGATGGAAAAACTGGCAGCTAACCTTGGTGATGGTTGTGCAACATGATTAATGTAATTAGTGTCACTAAATTATCCACATAAAAAATCTTGGGCAAGCCAATGTTGTGTTCTATTTATTTTTTCACAACAATAACATTTTTTTAAAAGGGGAAAAATACTAGGTATCATGCCAAAATCTAAGTAATAGCACTCTGCAAAAGAGAAGATTTTGTCCAGTATAAGAAAACAAGATGGCACCCTCTGTGCTCAATTCTCTTATATATCTTTCCCACCAAGGCTTCATCTGAGAATTGAAGGTTGGCCCTTATCCCTTGCCTGTCCCTCATGAGATTTGGAGGTTTCCCCATTTCCAGATGTTTTGCCTCCAAACACACGTGAAGAACAAGATGTTTGCTCCCTGCGCTGACGGACCTGCAGCCCCTGGGCACCCACCTGGTGCCCTCTGTGTGGAGACACAGCCTGGGGCAGGGAGCAGTGCTCCAAAAATGACTGTCCATGGGATGCTCAGACATAGGATGCACTTTATTTTTCGAAAACAACTCTTTCCCTCAAGCTGATGACAATCCAGGGGCAGAAAGACACTTGAATCTCAAAAGGTGTGGGGCAGAGCACTCTCTGTTCCTCTTAACATACGGGGCACTTCAGGTCTGGTCCTGTTCCCCTTACTTACATCAGGGTCGTTCTGCCTTTCCTTAGTTAATACCACAGAAAAAAGAAATGCATATGTGGGAGTGGGTGGAGCGAGTTCTGAGGCTACACTACAAACCTGAAAACCTGTCAGTTAAAACCAAAT